AATATATGCCACTGTAAACTGTGCTGAGGGCATACGCCACATCCATTGGATTTCTGTGGGTACACATCAATTCCTGGCTTATGGGCGTGATATATGTAGGGCGGCTGTAGAGTAGAGGGAAGAGGTTATCACGATCTATAAACGGAAGCTGATTTATGTCACCAATTAGAAGGACTTCCTTGGCTCGAGTTATTCGGGCGGCCATCACAACGGCTCCAAAGTGGTTCATGAGAGCCTCATCTACCATTAGGCGATGGCAGCTCTCTCGCTCCCCCAAGCCGTTTACTAGGATGGACGCCATTGTTCGAACCCTAGATTTGACGAGTCCTCCGATTCGGCAGGATAGTTTGCCTCTGAGGTCATTTGCTGCTTCGGTTGTCGTGGTGACAATTAGATCTTTGCCCGCTTCAAATTGATCTACTATCCATGTCGTTTTTCCGCAACCAGGGACGCCATTTGTCCAGCGAAACGTCGGAGTATGCCAGTCTCCAAAAACTTCGCCGTCTGATCCAGAATCAGAAATGGATCTTGCCATCTCTAATATTCTATCGTCCAGCATAATTCTGGTGCATTTGGCAACCACTACTAGGGAATCCCCTGGAGGAGTTTTAAACTTTAACACTCCGCATCGATCGGATTCCCTCTCGTCCAGAGACACAAATCCGGCAGTTGCGTTATAAGCAGCCATACTTCGAGTTATAGAGGTTCCTCTCAGTACCCTCGAGGTGTTGTTGTCGTATATGACTGCTTCTGCTGCTTCGAGTCTATCGTTCAGTATTAGCTCGTTTCCTTGCAGGTAAGTCTGCAGAATGGATTCGCATTTCCGCATGTTGACTTGCCTGGTTGCCTCCACCACTGCGGTAAACTCGAGAAAAGCATTTACGACATGGTCTCTGGTAGTGGGCGCTTGTCGAAGCCTCGGCGGACAAACGTGACCCATAGCTGCTCTTGTTGGTGATGACCTGGGGGGAGGAGACTGTATTTGTGCGCCTCCTGATCCTTGAGCAGATTTAACCACATTTTTTCTGAAGGGTGACGAAATCAGTCCGGTTACTGAGCATATGGCCGCTGTTATTGCCCACACTCTACCTCGTGATTCTAATTTTTTATTTTCCCTCTCGGTGTTTTGTTGGTGTTGTTGCAGAGCGCTTTGTTGCCTATATCTTTGTTGTAGACGCTCTGAGCCGCTTGGAGAATCCACCCTTAGCGCGTATCGAACTGGCTTTTTGAGGAAACTCAAGTCCTCACCCCTGTTCTCGTACACGATGACTTCATGATGTTCTGAAGCCCTGACGCATCCTATAAGGTCTGGTCAAGGTGTAGGTTTCGAACTAGCTGATAGATCCACTGACGAATGGATGGTAAGTAATTGGCACCGTCCATGGACACCCGCAACACCAGAGGAGGTGCATAATGAACACTTTTGGAAATTGCGTTTGCTAGTATTCGCAGGCATTTTCTTTTAATGATCTGTTACACTTCCGTATGAAAATACATGACAAAAGATTTTTACAAGCAGGTGTTTTGCTTGCAAATGACAGCTTTAGGTGTAAACTATCCTTCTCCAAAAAAGGGGTTTGCCATAATATTCACATTTAATGTTTAAAAAATGGTTTATTATAAGTCGCAATTCAAACGACTCAGATTTATTTTTGTTTTTGTTTAAAAAAAAAACTGTGCCACACATTGGGATTGTCTCCTGTGTCGTAGGTGCATTTACAAACATACGAGTTCACTTATACAATGACACCCAGACTCGGAACAATAATTTGTGGATCACACAAAGTGTGTCCTCTGCGGTTGCGGCCCGGTCTGGAACTCAACTGATTGTTTAATTGCCCGCCCGTCTTGTGATAATCAACCGCCAAGTTTGCGGGCGAAAAGGGTGGGACAGCAGATGGCATACATACGGAGCCGTGGAGAACTTAACAGGTTACCAGGGCTCCGGCTCGGGGGGCAGGAGTAGAAACGGGGTGGTTTTTAGTCAGTAAGAGTCCTACACTCCCTCCCGCCTCACCTAGGCGAGAGAATGATTTTCCTCCCTTAAAAAAAAAAGCCTTAGTTGGGTCTTCTGATACTCGCAGAAAGTGGAGACAAATATTTCCTTCTCTGCTGTCACCACATCATCAATTCCTTTATAAACAGGTTTGGAGCTGGAGCCTTCCTTCGCTACGCAGGCATTACATCATTCGTCCTAGACTTTTTGTCCAACTATGGGGATCTGGATGCAGCCAAGAAGGGAAACCCCAAGCCACCCATCACACTCACCAGTGTTGAGGTAGGTTTACAGCAGCTCATGTAGTATAGATGTCCAGTCAACAAGGATGTAGTGAGGTTGACTGTCCAGGCGACACACGTACTTAGGTATCGTCATGAGCTAATGTTTACATGTAAACAGCAGCTCATGTAGTACAGCCATGAAGAAAATAATAAACTAACTTTCGTCCGCAACTTTTTATATAGACCGTCCTATTGATTCACCTCTATCTATTAAAAAAACCGCATCAAAATCCGAGGCGTAGTTTTAAGGGTATTAGCATACATAGGGATTAGGGACAGATAGCGGAAATCGACTTTGTTTTACTATGTAGACCAGATTTTTTTTACTTATTTTGATCATGAACATCATTATCTTACAAGAAGTCCTTGCTGAATACAATTACACCTCACAGTGCTTTCCAGATGATATTTTAAGATAATTCTTCTGTCAGGTTGTTCAAAAAGAACCATTGGTTCGGGAGCCGACTTATGACTTGGACCTTAAAGCTCTGAAGGTCCACTGTCGAAGCGAATGGGACAGTCTGAACATTAACGCTCTCATTGAGAAGAAGCAAAAAGAGGTAAGATCTTGTACCTCATACATAAGAAGAATTTAGATCTTGCTAGATGTAGCAGAGCCGTACTATCCCTGGGGCAAACTAAGCGATTGCCTACGGCGCCAAGTTACAGAGGGAGTCCCTCTCAAATGCCCGCTCAAAAACCCAAAGAGTGGCGGCGATGCCAAAAAAAATAGAGACGCCTATGAGCTGCTTGTGCTCTCTAGGTTTAATCTGTCTCTGTGCTATGGAAAGAGCCTGGGTAATGTAATCAGTTGGTAGTTTTGACTTGGTTTAAGAGCATGCGCTGAAATATTCAAACGCTTCTCAATTTATTTTATTTAATTTTTTATTTTAAAAGACTTCATGCACACACTAATGTATATGTAATATATAAACTTACATGTATATGTCATAACAATAAACTTACACAATTATATTACATATACTACTTAGACGTAACATAATTATACATAGTATATTGATAGTTACGATTCTGCCAACCTCCTCAAAAGTAGCTCCCACACTTTCCGCTTGAATGACAAACGACTGAACACCATCCTGATATCGGGAGGGAGCGCATTCCACAGAAGAATAGACTGAACAAAAAAGGAGGAATGAAGAAATTGCAGTCAAGAATAATTTAAAGTCGCACTTAAGCATAGTTCTGTCACTACGAACTCTTTTGTAAAATGACAAAGATGGCGTGATATTTAGGTACCTACAACTTAAAGTTGAGTAGTCTTTCAGTATTTGCACGTACTCACATAAGTTTTTAGCCAGATAAGTCGACTAGTTTCAAGCTAGGCTATGGGCTCATAGTCATGAGTACAGTAGCATTGAGCGATATAGGTGACACGGTGATCGTCGCGCAGCCAACTGAGTCCCTGTAATAAGCCAGGGACTATGAGCCCCTACCTATTTGGCTTGAAATAGGGTAGTTTCCTAAATTTTATTTTAATGTCCGTCTGGTACATTCGTTTGAAACTTTAGACACAAAAATTTAAATACTTTCAACGATATATTAATTTGAAATATCGTGTGACGTCACATCGTGTCACATTTTGCAGCACGTTATGATGTAACGACCTCCTACTCCTAAATTTAGCACCATTTTATCTAAGTATTGCAAATACGAAAAAATAAAAAAAATACGTGTCTTTTTTTATTATATAACTGACGAAATTTTAATATCTAATTAGATTTTAAAATTTGATACCCTGGAAACTACCCAATTAGTTAGGTTATCTCGCCGAACGGTTATGGCCCATAACCGTTCGGAGTAAGCCAGTACAATTATTTAATTCAATATTTGAAGTAAAGTAAGGTTACCCAATCACGCGTTCATGGGTTCGGATATTGCATGGCGATTTTTTATGGTACAGGGCGACGAACGCCTATAAACATTCGCAGCACTCCGGAGGAGTTAGAAGTCCGGATAAAAGAGGACAAAATAGCATTAAGCCCTATAATTAGATCTTGATTTACGAATTATTGGTTTTCCTGAATTCCAGGGTCAGTATCCGCTTGGATCACTCAGTGCAGTCAGCCTGGCCACCTCGAGGGCGACACCGCGGAAGAGAGTCAGGGACTTCTATCAAAAGATGCCGAAAGAGGTAAGTGGAATTCATTAAATTAGGGATTTGATTTGCTTAACTGGTTTTTTGGACGTCTGGCCGATTCTTATATTTTCTGGTTTATAATGATGAAAAAAAAAAAACGAATACTTTGGGAATGTCACGCATTGTACAATGGATGCGATGACAAGGCAACAGGCTGCCACGCAACGTATCGGAGGTTCGATTCCTGAACGGAAAAATCTATGTGATCCGCAAATTGTAGTTCCAAGTCAGGGTGTCATATGTGTATGTGAACTTGTATTTTCGTAAACGCACCCACGACACAGGAGGAAGTTCTAGTTTGATGTAATTTTTTTAAGTTGGTATAACTAACTATAAGAAGTATACGAATCTTGGAGATACTATGATCAACTGCCTCTCTCTGTATCTCTATTAGCCTCCTCCGATCTTGCCCGTGAACCCAGACAAAGCTCCTGTGAACCCCACAAACGAGCAGATTATGACTCTCCGAGGTGAAAACTTCTTCCTTTACTCCCCGAAACTAGATGCACATACCTTCGGAAGGTAAGGGTTTTCATTATACATCATAATTTTTACTTACATAAAGGACAATGTCCAAAATGGCCCTGTGTAATAAATAGTATCAGAATATATATACGATAATTAATCCCCTATTTTATTATTTATGTTGCAAATACTTCTGTATCACGGACTAGCTGTATTTCAAAATGTAGTTTTAATAGAATTTAACGCGATTAATAACATTAGACCGCCATCTTCGACTAATATCAAATGCCTTCGCCTAATGTAATAAACAATAATCGTCGTAATAGGAAGTAACAATAATATTATACAGTACAGTAAAATGGGGTGAATAGGGTTTCAGAGGCGAAAAGGGACAGAAGAGGGGTGAATAGATATAAGGAAATTCTTCATAGTATCGATTCACCCCTCTTCTGTCTCTATTCACCACACAATCCCTATTCACCCCATTTTACGGTAATCAAAACTTCTTTACTTCTATACAATCATTCAAACATTCAACATTCGTTCAAATATTCGTTGTTATGGTTAGATTATAACCTCAAAATCTGATACTTTTTTAATTCTTTTCTGCAGCTAGTCTGCTATAAACACAAGATCTTCTAGGAGTCTAAAAATGATAGGGTGATAGATCAATACATAATTATCCGATACTCTTGGCTCCAGGGGCAACAATGTATGGACGCTGAGCAATGCCCTTTCATCATTAGCCTATAAGTGCCAACTACTGAGCAAAGGCAACTTCTTACAAGGAGTAAGAATGGGCATTAACCACCACGCTTGCTCAATGCGGGTTGGCGATTTTAAACTTATAATTAGAAATTCTAAGTCAAGGTTTCCTCACGATGTGTTCCTTCACCGTTTTTTTTTATATTAAATGGGACTGACGTCACATTGGTACTTGCCATGTTTCGCATTTGTAAGCTTGAGCAATGGCCTTAATATCTTGCCATCACATTCTCGACCTTAGGTTTTGAACCGAATTCCCAAAATAGAAGAGATTCTCAATTCGGTCGGTGTCTTCTTATCCTTTTTACATAGACCCTTGAAATACGATTTCCTTTTTAAACCCTCAGAGACGATATGATACCCCTTCCGAAGTCGGAGACGATTCTCCACAGTCCGGTGGAGATAGCTGACCAGAATTATCACTCCCAATACGTTCAACTTGATGTTGAGAAATGGATCCTCAGAGGTACCAGGCACATGGCCAGTCATAGGTGAGTCTGGATTAATTATTATGGTATTGGGGGCAAATGATCAGACGGATCAACTGATGGTAAGCAATCTGCGTCACCCATTGACATTCGCAGCACTAAAGGAGCCAGAGGTCCGTTAAACTTTTTAAGAGAAAGTATGTTAGGCCTTTTAAGAGAAAGTATGTTCTTTGCACTTTATGGTTGAGGTTGACCTATGAAGCCGGTAAGGAAGGAACTTCAAATGAAGAGACTTTAGAAGACAGATCATCTGATGGTATGCAATCTTCGCACTTGTTGCTCATGGACATCCACTACACTAGAGAAATCATTTACAAAACAAATCTAAACGTTATTCCAAGCCGGTTTCCCATGCTTGAGAGACGCTACGGCGTCCTCACTTACCGCCTGACGCAGGTCCTCACGGAGGGCGGAAGGAAATGCCCAGGTGTCATCACTACGAGGACCGCCCTTACGACACGGTGGAACACACTGTAGGGGCATGCCCTGCGTGGGCTTAGCAGCGCCGTGCCCTCAGGGATGTGGTCGGCGACGGTGACCTCTCGCGTCCGGCCCTAGTCCGGGCCATGATACGGAGTGAAGAGGCCTGGGATGCCATCTCCTCCTTTTGCGAAGCAGCCATGCTAGCTAAGGAGGAGGTGGGGCGCGTGAGGTAGCCAAGCGCTGCCTTCTTACAGCCCAGCCGTCACGAAGGACACTCTGGGCGTTAGGGATCACGATCTCCGATCACCGTAAGCACGGGCCTGCGTATGGCGAACATGGGTAGCTCACCACCCGATCAGAACCAAACCCGAGCGTACGTCGCGTCGCGTTCCGCGCGCGCCTCAAACAGCCATCAGACCATCTCGGATGGGGTCCAATACTTAATTAGAGAACTTAACAGGCTGCCGAGGCTCCGGCTCGAAGTGCAGGAGTAGGAACGGGATGGTTTTTAGTCAGTAAGAGTCTACCTCCCGCCTCACCCAGGCGGAAGAAGTCATTCGATGATTTCCCCCCTTAAAAAAAGCAGGCTTCCCATGAATTACTTGTTTAGAGTCTAGTGTAATGAGAAACAGGTGATATGTATGTGTCTGTGTCTTTTTCGTAGGTACCAAACCTTCAGGACCTACACTGGTATATCATGCTGTGTAGCAGCTCTAGGTATGTTGAGACGGTATCGCGCCAGGGCCTGGAATGAAGACATGTTTGATGAAACACTCGATGTAGGATTTAACTTATTTAGGGTAAGCCTATAAACGTTTTTATCACTAAACGGTTTAATTTTAGCTTGCCCCGTTTATTTTAATGGGATAAGCCGGTAAACGAACAGACGGATTACCTTCGGCAGTAAGCAATCGCCGTCGCCCATAGACTCCTGGAACACCAGAGGCGTTACAAGTGCGTTACCGACCTTCCAGGGATTAGGAATTTGAGGAATGTCGGAGATTCAGGGATTGGGGAAATTGGGGAAGGGGGGGGGGGCGGCATAGTTGGGCCTTCGATAACCTTATTCATACGATGAAATACACACAACCTCAATTTCACGTCGGTTTTTTGCTCGGCCATATCGTTCCGGTCGAGCCGGCCCATTCGTGCCGAAGCATGGCTCTCCCACACTTATGAGTTATTAATAATTGGTATTTCACCCCTTTCCTGATCAATATTTATTCTAAATCTTGATGACTATACAATATTATAATATATTTTTTCCACTATTGGAGTGCCTCGTTGGCCGAGTGGTCGCAAGTGCCACTGCCGTGCAAGGGGTCTCGGGTTCGATTCCCGTGTCGGGCAAAGTATGTTTTTAAGAAAATCTCAGTAGGAGCACGGAGTCTGTAATTGCACCCGGTATATGGCAATAGGCTCACCCCCTATTACATGGGACTCGTATCATAAATAGTGAAAAGTGGGTGTTACATTATACAGTGGCATAATGTGCACCTCTGCCTACTCCTTCGGGGATAAAAGCATGATGTTATGTTATGTTTTTCCACTATCTGATATCCATAATGCAGGTAACGTTATTATGGATATCAAACGAAAAGGCTTGATTGGTAGAAGAGAGCTCATAGAACTGTTTAACAGACGAAATATATACCTATGTATTACTTGTTGTTTCTATAGGAGTCGTTGGTGGAACGAGGTGGTCCTATCCGAAGGTTGGTGCTTGGAGAGCTGAAGGATACCTTCAGGATTCGAGACCGCGAGTACAAGCATAAGGTCAGTCCTTGTTCAAGAGTTTAGTCGTTTTTGAGCTGGTGGTCGGAGTCTCTATGAAGGATCGGATCCGAAACGAAGTGATCCGACAGAGAACCAAAGTTATCGACATAGCCCAAAGGATCTGTAAGCTGAAGTGGCAGTGAGCCGGTCACATTTGTCGAAGAACCGATAGAATAGAATAGAATAGAATAGAATAGAATAGAATAGAATAAACGTTTATTTCTCTAGTTAAATAAATATACTATTACATCATCACTTAAAAATAGAATTTTTACAAGTGCATTTGGTATGTATTTTTGGTACATTTTGTCCGGGGAGGGATCTTTTGTAGCCTATTGCCGAATTCTTTTCACACAATTTTATACATAGCAATTATGAGAAGTACTGGGTTTAACCTATTATCACCGCCCATTTGGTCCTCGACCAGGGGTTACTTAGTATTTAATAAATAATAATAAAATATAAGATGATTTAAGAATGACTCTGAGAGTTATAGTTTATGCTGACGGGGAGGAGCCGTCCTCTTGTGAAGTGGTTTGCTTCTCTCTGTTTTATTTAGGTAGTCTATTTCGCCTATTCTGTTAGCCAAGAGGAATGGGTTAAATTGGCCATATCTCGTGTAAGCATCGCCAGGGTCTTCTAGGCCTCCGATTGATAGTGATTCGAGTTTTTCTATCATATCGTGGTGTAGGTCGTGTGCTCTGAGATGCCACGGGTCCTGTCCAAGCATTTCCCAAAGTGTTTTGGTTTCGAGGCGACGTGGAAAGTTACCTGCAGCTTTCAGTGCCATCCTGTACTGTCTTTCTAGTTTTATCAGGTTGCTTTTACTGTATCTCGGTAGCAGTTGGATGACTCCATAATCGAGTACCGGCAGCAGGCACGCCTGTATGATGAGTAACTTTGTTTCGGTGTGTACCTTCGATCGGTATCCTATGATCGAGTTTAGGGCACCTCTGATTCGTTTCAATTTTTCTACTCTATCTTTAGTGTGTTTGTTCATTGATAGCCTCTTGTCGAATATGACGCCAAGGTATTTCACTTCGTCTTTGTATTCAATCCTTTCGTTTTTCAATTGAATGTAATTTCTGTATCCGCTATTCCCTTGCCTAGGTCTCTTATGAGTAAACATTATACACTCCGTTTTTTCCACATTGCATTGGAGGCCCCATTTTTTATAATAGTCGATGACATCCTCCGCTGCCCATTCTGCGCGTCTAGTGGCGTGATCTGGTTTCTTCGCTACGTTTAAAATGCATAAGTCATCTGCATATTGGGAAAGCATTAAACCTGCGATTCGTTGCTTCGGTATGTCAGAGACGTACAGATTAAAAAGCACGGGCCCGAGAATCGAGCCTTGTGGGACTCCGTAGGGTACATTTATTTCTGTGCCTGTGGTTGTTCTAAATCTGCCGTTAGTGGTTCTATTGGATAGATAGTTTTCTATAATCTTTATAATATTGTTACGGGCTCCAGCTTCAAAAAGTTTCTTTATAAGTCCTTTATGATTTATAGAATCGAATGCCTTACTGAGGTCTGTTGAAATCATAGCTACACTGTGTCCTTTCGCCAATGCGTCTGTGATACATTTGCCAGTTCTCAATATTTGTGTTGCTGTACCCCT